TAAGTTTAAGAACATAAGATATCTTAATAACAGGGGAGCCGTCTTATGGAATGCGATACATTCAGCGAATTCTATAAATTTGAAATTGGAAAAAAAAGGAATTGCTACTTTTTAAGTCAATCGAATAATAAAATCCTTATTAATTATTTAATACACAGTTTTGTAATGAATCGTCGATTTGATTTAGAATCAGAAATTTAAAATAAAATGAACTGCCAGCTCTTGTCATATTAATTTTGCTTATGCTTGCTGTGTGAATAGTAGCATCATTAACGAAATAGTGCATTTTAAAAGGACAAAGGGGACTTTTTCCCCCGGCAACATGAAATCCTATTGGAATTTTCCTTACGTACATGCGGTACTTTTATCGCATTTAAATGGAAGGAATGAGTGTTCGTAGTTTAGCACTGAAATTGGTGCAATTATTATGTTCTGTTCTAGGCATTATTATTACGTATAGGCAAGCATTCTGTTTCGCAATTTTGCACTGTATTATACATTTAGTTTAAAGTTGGCTTTCTTATTACTTGGTTTCTTTCAAAGTTCCGTAAGATAATGCACGGTCTCAAACTGGCGGCCATCAAAGCAATTTTATGCGGCCCACAAATACCTTTTAATTAGTATTATTATAACACGAATTTGAAGGAAAAGGAGTTTGATGGTCTGAAGTGCAGTTTTACTTTATTTTCAATCTCAAAAATGAAAGTAACTCTCCGAAAAATTTAGAAATGGAATTCATTAATTGAAACTGTGATATAAATCTTATACAAGATTTGAAGATCCGAATTACTTTTATTAGTACATCGAAAGATAATATACTCAGTTATAAATTTTTTCAATAAAAATAATCGCTTCGTTTCGAAATACATTAACATCTGCACAGCTCCGCCTCCCTCCGAGTTGAAAATTAGTGTTCTACGAAAAGAACCTGACTACCGATTAGTAGTTACAATTTTTAATCAAAATACTTTCTAGTAATTTTCCTTCAAAATGATAAACTTTATGAAAATCGAAACACCATGAGGTATAATAACCATGTAGATGATATGTATAATAACAAACAAAAAAGTTTATATTTATTTATATACACGTATTAATTTTTCTGTATGCGTCATAGAAAAATCTAATAAATAAATGTAACAGACTAGATTTCATTGTTTATTCTCACGTTTTCTCCCTCTTGGAAAATTTTTCTATATTTAATTTTAGTTTTAGTTAAAATATAAGTTATTTAGTAGTAGTAGTAGTTGTTGTTGTCTTGTCCATGTATTTCATAGAAGAATGGTTGCTAAAGCCTCAAGGAGGTTGGATCTCTATTTCCACACCAATTTTGAGGTAGCGCACCCCAAGTGTGAACCGAGGGTCTCCAACCCCTTTCCCCTACCACCAAACCACACGAAAGGACTTTCGGCTCGTTATACGAGTACAGGGTGATTCATAAAGAAGAATACATTTTCAATGCACTATAAATCAAGAACAATGCAAGATATTATATATTACCCGTAACATAATTATATGGGACTATTTTAAGTCTTGATAGAGATAGTCACAGATGTTCTATGACCCTTAATCACACGGTACACGTCAAGCCGGTAATCTATTTCCTCCCAAACGGGGTTAAGGTATCTGAATCAAGTCCATCAATAGTGGCTGTGATACGTTGTTTCAGCTCCGCTTGATCAACAGGAAGGGGAGGGACGAATACTTTGTCCTTTAGGTACTCCCACAGGAAAAATTACAACGTGTTCGGCCAAATCCCATTTTCAAAATGAAGCTGCATTTGTCACAAAATTCAAAACGCTTTTGCTTGTCACAGTCACTCAAATCTTGCAACCCCTTGACTTTGTATGGAATCATTTTTTAGCTTCTTTCTCAAAATTCACCAGACAGTGGGCTGAGCAATCTGCACTTGACTCACCCTCCGCATTGATTTTCCCCAGCTCCGTTGAATGGCGGTGCAAACTCTATCGGTGACTTCTTGCAATACAGTCGGTCATTCAGGACTTTTACTTTTGCACAAACAGCCCATAATTTTAAATTTCTTCATGCCATTGATAGATAGATTTTCTAGTTGGAGGTTCTTTTTGAATTATGATCGAAAATGCCGTTGTACAGCAGCTGAGGATTCCGTTTGGCTAAATTCAAGAACATAAAAGCCTTCTGCACTGCAGGTGCTGCCATTTTGACCGACTAGTCACATGATAAGGCACGCTATTGCCTATATCACTTCTGACAAGAGCGAGATATAAACTTTAAGGGTACATTTATTTAGTAGTATTATTTAGTAGTAACCTAACTATATTACAATTATTTGAATAAATGCCAATTTGAAAATCTTATTATTTTGATCAAACATCATAAACTTCCATGCCTTCTCCCGGATTCGAACCCAGGCCATTCGCTACCATAGTAGGCTCCCCTAATCAGTATACCGTATGTGCGGCATTATTTAGTAGCAACTTCAATATATTTCAATTATTTGTATAAAGGTCAATTTGAAAATCTTAATATTTTAATATATATAATTATATATATTTATATATATAATTACATATATTTGTATAAAAAAAATTAAATTTAATTAATAAATTTTGTTTGTTAATGTAATTTTTTTCTGTTCCATTAAAAGAAAATTTTTCTGCTACTTTCACATCATGCATTTAGCCCACGTGCAATTTGAGTTTGAGACCACTATAATAGCGGATTAAACCTGAATTATTAAGTGAAGCATTTTTTTTTTAAAGTTTGAAGCATGATCGAAAATGAAAAGCTCTTTTTAAAAGGTTTAATTCAACCAATAGTTAGATTTTGATACTCCTTTAAAGATAAAAATTGCATGAAGATGATAAAACGTAAAGAAAATGCGCATATAAAGCCCCAAACACGAGACATACTCAAACTGTCCGTAATAATAAACTTGTACGTAAATTTACATCATATTTTATAAATACCGACAGTATTCGTAAGTTTATCAGTGAAAGTTATAAAACTGATTAATTGATTTTGCTAATATCAGTATTAACAGTACCGCTGTTGAAATTTTATCAACACATAATATAATTTGTTTGACGATTACCCTTAGACACATAATATAATTTGTTTGACTGCGATTTGCCTAAAACAAGCACAATTGAATTATGAATAATGCAGACTGCTTGAAATCTTACCTGAAAAATTTCCATTTCGTACTTTAAATCTGAGAAATTTAAAAGTTTTACTATATGCATTAATATCTTTTCATATTATGCAATGTTAACAGCATATTAATACTCAAATACTATATTCAACTTTCAAATACACCACCTCAAGTCCTGGATGCTGCCTCATCGTGGTGAGGGGTCGACCCTGGGTGAAGTATGTCAGGAGTTTACTTCTGGTAGGTCCACCTTAGGCGTGAAGGCCATTCTTTTTGCCCAGCTAAAGTCTGCAGGCAATAGAGCTGAGACAGTCTTCTACTTTTTGTACTCCAGTCATTGACCACAGAAGCTGCTGCTTTTCCTCAATCCATGAATAAAGCATCTTATGATTTTAATGCTGCATCGGTCGTCGCGCAGTCAAAAAAAGATCGCATCTCTGGCTTAGGCAGAGAGCCTGGTTCGAAAAATAAGTTACAATCTCCAAAAATTATTTGTTAAAAAAGATATTACAGTTATTATTTTGTTAAAAAAGATATTACAGTTTAATATTAATGAAATTTCAAGAAAGGCTAACAGAATTAAACTAAATCAGGTCTTGGAGCTTGCTGAAAATTATGGATTCAGATTACTGCACTACAGGGAAACTAGATTAAAGACCAGTACCACACTTAAGAAATAAGGGATATAATATTTTTTGAACTGGTAGACAGAATAAAAGTGGAGGAGTACTTTAATAACTTTAAGAAACACAGGTTACAAATACCCATTTTTCGAGGTAATTTTTATAAATTCCACTACAAATTTTAATATTCCATAGAGATTTTTGGCTGGGCTTGGAGACAACCGAAAGCTCTATCATTTAAGTACATGCATCACAAACTTCCATGCCTTCTCCGGCATTGCTGATAGTTGCTGATAGTCAAATGCTGATAGTCATCTAACAGGCGGCACAGAAACTCAACTGATGTAAGTAAGTAAGGGTTCCGAGTGTTTTGAAGCCTGCACCAAATGTTTTTCTGACCAAGCTTCTTCTGATCATATTGTTACGAGATGTACAGGCGCGGTAAGAGTGCTTCCCCGCAACGGTTGCCATAAAATAGCAAGTTTTACGGTTGCCATAAAATAGCAAGGGAAGCAGGGTTGCCACATTTGGCGAGAAATTGTTCATTTGGCGATAAAATTGGCGATATGCCATGGACGGATGGAGAACTTTCTGGAACGAATTCTTACCGGTTTAGCCCAGAATGTTCTCGGACACAAGCCAAAAGCTGCTCGACATTGAAAATGCAACACCAAGAAGGAGTGGTTAGAAAGTCATGAAATTTGGAAAAAAGACAGAGACAGCAAGCAGCAATAACCCTGTGCGGCGCACTATACGTTAACGTCGGAATTTCAGCAAAAAGTGTTGTATGCAGTGTATTTAGTCCTAAAGGAGTATACAGGTAAAATTTTGTAAAATTTGCACTTACCGTTTTAATTCTGTGGGTGTTCCCTGAGGTGGAACACTGCGCCCCCAGAGCTTTTAAAAGTGCGACTCAGCGAGCATTGCAGTGAAGTACGAAAATGAGTAGAAGCGTTTGTATAAGAGTGAAAAAACTCTGTATTATGGCTGCTTTGTGAAATTGTTCAAAGCAAGTCACACCTTTTTGATGGAAGCACAAACCAACTTTGAAGGTTTTGCACATATAACTTGTGTTGTGCGGCTTCTGCTTCGTGCTACAATGTGCACATCGTCTACGCGTGCCCTTCACCGGTATGTATTCAACACTACTGTAGCGTTTTCCCCTGAAAGCTTTACTTTATGCTTGGGAGTATCTTCAGGTCTTGAAGGAAGTCGCCTCTTCAAAGTTATCTCTGACGCTTTCATGGCACAGAGGGACACAGCAAATTTAAACGGAAATCTTTGGTTGTATTTATTTCAGCTCCAGTTAGCATTTTATGTAGTATGTAAATGTTAATTACAGCTACATCTGCAAAATGGAAAAAGATTCTTTGCCACCACTTTGTACTTTTACGATCTATTTCGTAAAGCGATACTAGTTGATCAAATTTGTCTACGAATCCCATTTTCATATTATAAGTTGAAATTGCTTTTGGGCAATTTATGTTTACTTTTGTGGCGTCTTTTTCTTTTCGTTCAATTTGAATTTGATCAACGGCGTCAGGAAGGGAAGACAGGATTGTGACACATCTCTTATCCTTACATTTGAGGCAAGTTAGATTGTCATTACTGACAGCCCAGTCAAATTCGCCTCTTTTCAACTCCTTGTCCTGGGCAAGCAGGGACTTCGGTAAATTTTTTCTGCCTATCATGGCAGTTCCACAGGCATATATATTTTTGGTTTCCAAGTAGCGAAAAAGTTCGTATGACGTAAAATAATTGTCCATGAATACCCGGTGATTTTTGCCATGCAGGCATTCTGTCAATCTTTTCACCACTTTCTTGCCCAGATTTTTCTCTACAACTTCTTTTTTGTCTGAATAAATCTCGAACTGGGATGCAAAAGCGCTCTCATCACACCTCATCCATACTTTGAAACCACGTTTTATTGGTTTCTTGGGCATGTATTGTTTAATTGTGCTGCGTCCCTTGAATTTGATCATTGACTCATCTATCGACTGATTTTCACTAGGATGCAGAGCATCTAAAAATCTCTTAGACAGATAATCTAATAATGGCCGCACTTTATACAGACGGTCGAAATTTACATCGTTCCTTTTCGGCTCAAGCACATTGTCGTTTAGGTGCAAATTGCCGAGAATCCATGAAAAGTTTCTACATGACATATAACGGCAAATGGATTCGTCTCCAAGGGCTTCATTATTTGCCCAGTAATCCTTATAACTCGGCATACTCTTTATGCCCATCAGCAGATTGATTCCAAGAAATATGTATAATTCAACTAAAGTGAGTGGTGAGAAAGGTTTACATTTTTGTGTCGCATAGAGATTTGTTTGGAAAAACTATGTGTTCCATCAGCTGAAGTGAAAAAATCTCTTGGAACACTGCTAATGGTGTTTTCTCAAGTAATTCCCATAGCTTTGCATTTGGCCCACTTATCGATGTAAATTCCGGAAGTATCTTTTGCAACTTCTGTTTAGAATTCCAAATAGGAACTTGAGGCTGCGTAGAGGAGCCTGACTGAGAGGGATCATCAACCTCCTCATCAGATAAATGAGTTTCATCTGGCATATCATCATCGGATTGCACAAGTGGTATCAGTATACGCTCCTGAACCACTGCTATCCACTGCTACCACTGCTACCTCAGTATACGCTCCTGAACCACTGCTATCCTCACGTTGTTGCCTGCTATCCTCACGTTCTGATTCAGAAACCGAGGGTAATTCATGAAACACTTTTAGCGCTTCGAAAAGAGTTAGACCTCTCCGCGCCATTTATGGAAAATTAATAATAAAAAAAATTAACTACGATTAATATTAACAATAAAGAAAAATAAGCCTATAATATATACATACACGAAAAATATCTACACAATTATTGAAAATAAACGGGAATGAGACTAAAAAGTGACAGCAAAAATTTCGCGCAGGTCTAAGTAAAGATGAGTCAAGTTACTAATAAAATTCCCGCCTAAAAAACTACTCCCAAAAAACTCAAGATGCCAATATTAAGGCTTTCATAACACAAAACACACCTCACCCCTCAATACTGCTTTTTTTGAATTCGTTCCCTCCGAAAACAACGGAAACAGAAAACATAAACAACGGATGTTCTCTCCTAAGCCCAGATGTTCTGATTCGTAACAGCATGAGATCGCTAAAGGCGCAGTGTTCCCGCTAATGGGATACCCAGCTTTATTCAATGATTCTGCGTATGGCTTTTGTATGAAAGATTAAAACAAATATAGAACAAATAATTTGGAGTACAGCCAGCAAAATTATGCCTAATTTTTTTTCCAAATAAAATTTTTTATATCATTAAAAAAATAGAGAAAATTACTTGAAAAAAAGTGGATTTTAATAACACATAATAAATGAAAATTATGTGTCTCCTTGTGATATGCTGCTATCTACTGTTTAAAAAGAAAAGTTCAAAGTATATTATAAAGGCATTTTTATCTATTTACTGTTGAATTTAAAGGTTTCAGAAGCGATTTAATTTGGGTGTTCCATGTAGAGGAACACTAAGCCGCAAAGGGATAAGTGATCTTTATTTCAAAATGATAGTCAGAATTCAGAGCGAGAACGGCGTCGGCTCAGTAGAATGTAGGACCACCGCGGACAACGATGCACGAAGAAACACGTCTAAGCATAGAGTCAATAAGAGTGCGGATGGTGTCCTGAGGGATGGATCTCCATTCCCTTTCAACCATTTGCCACAGTTCGCCTTCTGAACGAGGCAGCGGCAGAGTCTGAAAACGGCGTCCAATCACATCCTACACATGTTCGATTGGTGACAGGTCAGGAGAGAACGGTGGCCAGGGAAGCATCTGTATACCTTGCAGAGCATGTTGGCACTATGTGGTCGGGCGTTATCCTGCTGAAAGTTGCATTAGGCAGCCCCTGAAAGTAGGGATTGCCACTGGCCGCAGTACATTATCCAAGTATCGTTAGGCCATCATAGTGCCCTGAATACGAACTAGAGATGGCCTGGAATCGTAGGCAAACGTTCCACAGTTACTGCCGCATTAGATCTGTCTCCACGTCGACGCCACACACGTATGCGGCGACTGTCATTGGATAAACAGAAGCGTGACTTATCTGAGACGTTTCGCCATTCTGTCATCCCCATCGCTCCAGTCCGGCAGCATTCTAAACGTTGACGTCTGTGCTGTGGGGTCAATGGCAGTCTTCTTAACGGATGCCGTGAGTGCAGGCCCCATCCAATCAAGAAAATGGTTCTGGTCGACACGGGAATATCCAGGTATCTTGCAGATGCTGCAGAATCGCGGTACAAGTGACTTGCGGGACCGCCACAGCTTGTCGGCGGATGCGTCGATCAACGCGTGCTGACGTCACTCTGGTTACACGTGCACCCTTCCATTTTCCACATTTCCTTGTTCCAACCATGTTTGCCATAGCCGATGCACCGTGCTCGCATTCATGTGGGTATCAGCTGCGATTTGACGTAAGGAGCAACCCGCAATTCTGTCCGATCACCATACCCCTCGTAAAATCGTCTATCTGCTGGAAGTGCCTTCGTTGACGGCTGCCTGACATTCTCTCTTATTACACATATCCTCCGGGACAAAAACCAACTTTCTTCGATAATTCGTCTGGCAGAAATAACGGCATGAATATTACCCATTCTGAACGTTCCTTCCCTTATATCTTACTTCACGTGCGTCGGAGAGCTGAGCATTTCACATCATTCGCATAACTCAGTGACGTGCGTCTACTCTAAAATTTGCATAAATTTCTGACCATTCCTTCTTGTTCTTGCATTTTCAATGTCGAGCAGTGTAAACCCTGCTAGTCTGCAGTCAGTGTGAGTGTGTGCCTCGTCTAGCTAGCTGATAGTCAGTCATTGAGCGAGAGTCTCGAAGTCTATCGCCGGGTTGGTCGTCGAGTGCATCGAAGAGTCTCTTAGTGTACCGCGGTTAGTGCATCGTCGAGAGAGACTGTTAAGCTCCGGGAAAGACTGAACCGAAGAGTCGGGAACTGTGCTTTGTGTGTCGTCGAGTGCATCGCGAGTTATAGCGTGGAGAGTCTCGAGAGTACGTGGAGTTCCGAGAACGACCGAGCAGAGTCGAAAGCTGTACTCTGGTGCTTTGCAGTGAAGCTGTCTCCACCGTCATTGCCTGACAGTGTGAAGGCTGTGTCGCTGATTGTTCAAGCGTGTTTATTGTAGATCTTCGACGACTGCAAAAAGTGTTTTGAAGCTGTCCTGATTAATATTGGTAAATAAAATGTGTTTCGATATTTCATCAAGTGTTGTCGTCGTTATTCACTCCAAATCCGCACGAACCCGTAACGAACGTACCGAAGGATGAAAATAACGTAACAACTGGTAACAGGAAAAAAATGCAACAATATTCTTGCTTGCCTGAGGCTCTCTAGGCAGAATATTACTAATAATTCATTGTTAATTCTCGATTTCTTTAGGGTGGACAATGTCATGAACCTTATTTAGTCCTGCTAGGCTTTAGGGATGAGCAATAACACTTTCAAGTAAGTAAAATTATAATTTTCGTTTATTAATAAAATTTCTCAAATATATGGTGTCCAACAGCATGTCCTTTACGAACATTAAGAATGCGCCTCTGGTTAATAATGACCTGGTCAGAATAGATTCAGCTCAAGATTTCTAGGACGGCTTAAAAACATATGAAGATTCACACATTAATATGTCTAAAGCGTTCGATAGTATTCGAAGCGTCTGTATGAGAAGTCTCTCATTACGTGCACCCACAACAAAGGTATTTATAGTTTAATTTCTAAAGTTATTATAGTTTTGAGAGTTATGCCATTTTTAGCATTATGATCTTTCGAAATCATTAAACCATCTATTAATACATTAAGCGAAAAAACAAAGGCACTAAACATTTTTGTTCTTTGATTTTAATTTTTTATCGTCGCTACTAATTTATTTATACCATTGGCAAAAAAATAATGTAAGAAAAGAAAGAGTAAATAGGTATCAATAATGATATATAATGATTTTTATCTGGGGAGAGCTTTTCTATGTATAAATAGTCCGAAGCTTCCGCAACGGGAAAATTGACTTCAGATTATTCTTGTTGACTGCATGGATGTTTTCGTGGCTTTATATATGTGTGGTTAAGTAGAGATTTTCTTCAAAACTCATCATGAAGGCTTCGTTTTAAATGGCGGCTAAATCTGTTAACGGCTAAACGGAATCTCAGGAAACGAGCTTGTCTAAATTAAAAAAATGAATTCGTCCACGTTGCGATCGTTTTCATCTTATAAATTCATTTACGTGTAGAATTTGGGTGCATGATTGATGAAGCAATATTAGTGACGAGCTTCAAGAAAAAGGAGCCGTCTAATGTTCTTGATAGTTCTGAACATCACTGCAGAGCGCATGATGATGAAGATTCTGATTTTTCCACAAATGGGATTTTTTTTATTTTTGCATTTATTATTTATTATGCAGCTTATTTTTCTCATTTTAAGGGCTCATAAGATGCTCTTACGATGCCCTACGATGATATTTATCAATTCTTATAATGTAAATAACGATCTACTCTTATCTCAACTATAATCTTGTAAACAAGACCACGGCAGTAATTATCCCTTTCTCTGGAATAAAAGATTAATAGCATATGAAAAACGGATTTTATCCTGTTTCTCATAATAAAAATTTTTTGTAAGATATTACTAAGTTAAGGCATTATGATGAAACTTGTTTTCATGATAATTTTTGTCATATAACATTTTGTCTTTGAGTTTCCTATCAAAAATAATAGCAATATAATTAAGCAATACGGCAACATGTATAGTTAGAATTCTCGAGAAGGCGGAAGTATACTAAGTCTAAGCAATAATGAACATAACATGGATTTTTGATAACATTCTTGTTTTCAGCTCTTTCGTGAAACGAAAATCTTTTATTTGTCTCCAGAGATAACTTAAAACTTCATGCGAAAATGGAAGGCAGATAAAATACGACATCGAAATTACCTCATTTAGTTGTAAGAAATTGCCTTTTTTTAAAATTTCTACTGCGTTTTTCCTTTTCACTTAAGAACATATAAAAGACTATGGTTCTTGAGAATTACACGACGAAGCATAAAATTCGAGCAGTGGGTGTCAAACCGCGATCTGGTTTCTAGTCTCCCATTTTATTTCCCTTTAGGGAAATCTTTTCGTCCTGCATAGAAAATTTGGACGGTCATAAACTTAGCAATCTCAACAATAAATCAAGCT